AGTGGGAGAGTGGGAGAGCGAGGCAGGGACGGAGGAAATCCAGGGGCCTTCTTGGCATCGCTGCTGTAGGTAATGGGCTTTGACTGTCTAGGTGCTGCCTCCGTGACCCCAGAATTGTCCACTTACAACAGTACAGTCGTCCAGAGCGGCCATGAGCTGTCCACTGGTGCCACGTGGAGTGTAGGCCATGGGCCTGAGAGGAGAGCCCCCGGCATTTGCTACCTGGGAGGTCTGAGCCTGCACAGAGTTCAGACTAAATGGCTGGTGGCTCTCCAGGGGGCTGACGGCGCATGCGTCCTCTCCCTCACTCTGTCTCACTCACTCCCTCAGCTCTTCCTCTTACTGTCTCATGTATTACTCCCTCCTTCACTGTCTTTTCTCCCTGCCTCCTCTTTCTCGCCAGCTTCCTTACTGGCCCATCTTTCTGTACAGGGCCATGGAATGTAGAGGCTCAGCAGCTGCTCTGTCTGATGACCCACGTGGGTCAGAGCCTTTTCCAGAGTGTTACAAATGGTGTCTGAGACACCTGGAAGACCCTCAGAAATCTGTTCCTAAATCCACTCTTTGTCCTAATGGACAACTCTAACTGCTGGGATTTCCTTCTCTGGGCTGAAACCTGTTGTGAAGATTGGTTCTAGCTCTGTCTTTCTGAGCACAGAAGGGCAGATCCTCTTTACCAGCTGGTGTAGATCCTTTGTCTACTGCAGGCCTGTGCTAGGCTTAATAAAATAACTGTGGGATGTGGACCCAACCCCCAGGAGGTCACAGTGTAGACAAGGCATATAAACAGTTAATTGCAAGTGTTGTACCCCGGTCACGCAATTCCCAAGAGACCACCAAGGAGCTGATTCCTATGTAAACACACAAGGGTCACTTTTATTTGGGCTTGAGCCAGGACTCCCAATCTTACTGGCACAGTGGGTCAGAGTTGAGAGCCCTGATGTTACTTGGGCTGGGTTTTTATGGGGAGAGCTCGAAGGGTGCTGAGGAATATACTCAGGTGGCTACACATTGGCTGTAAATTTTAAGAAACATAGTTGTCTTTTACTGATTAGCAAGACAGTTACTTCAGGTCTCTGGTATTTCCTTTGTTTCTTATCATTGGCCAGCCCTGGTGGGATGGTCTTAGGACCTTCTCCTATGTGATTGGCTCGCCTCCTTGAAATGGCACCAATTCTCAGCAAGGTGGGTTTAACAAAATGGAGTCACTCTGGCCCTTCACAAGCAGTGTGGGAATCGAGCCACTGAGAAGGGCTGATGTTTGTGTGCCTGTTAAGATGAGGAGGACCAAAAGCTTAGGAGGAGAACATCACAGAGGAGGGGGAACCTGAGCTGCCCTTTGTAGTTGGCTGAGTAGTGCATGCAGATTAGGGCAAGGTGCACTGTGTGGACTGGTCTTGAGTTGGAAATAGCGTGGGGTGTTTGGTCAGCATGTGGTTCAGTACTGTTGGAACCCCAAAGCGCAAGGAGATAAGAACTTAAGAGTGTGTGCTTGTAAGTCATGATTTTGGCATGCAGGACACTCTTGGGAGAGACTTGTAGCTAATCTTGGAGGACTTAATCTAGCACTTTTGCTTGTAGAAATGTAAAGAAGGAAGGCTGAGGGTTTTAAGCAGGAGAGTTTTAAAATTGTTTTCTAGGGTCAAGGGGAGGAAGATGGTTTGGAGAGTGTGTTGGTCCAGATTCTATTAGTGGGAGGCACCAGTTAAAAATGGTTTTAAAAATGTGTGTCTCTTCTGTCACATAGCAAGGTGCCTGGGTATCCATGTCCCAGGGTTGGCTCAGTGGCACAGCTATGACATTGAAGTCCTAGGATCCATCTTTCTCTTTGTTGAGCCTCCTGATCTTGATGTGATCTTTCTCTTGGTCTCCCATGGTTGCTGAGGGGTTGACCCAGCTCCAGACAGTGACATAACAGTGCCCAGTTGGAGAAGAGAGGCAGTGCTTTCCTTAGAGAAGAAAACAATTCCCAGAAGTCCCCAGGTCTCCTCTCGCCATCATGGTAGGCACGATGCAAATTATGTGGCTAAGTCAAAGTCCTGTGGCTCTTGTCATTAGGATGGTTAGGGCAGCTTCCTTGGTTCCTGTTGGGGCATTGCCCCTGAGGAGGGACAGGCATTGGGAATGGGAACGGCACACCACCCAGTGCATCCTGGAGCAGCCAGAGGGAAAGGGACACAAATAGGACCTGTGCTGATAGATAGGTGACAGACAAAGTTGTCATTTGGTCTTCTCTTCTCCACTGAGGCCAACTCAGGTCTCTTGGTTTTTAATTTGATGTGGTTTATAAACCTTCACCCACTCTCGCCCACCACCCCCATGTGCCCAGGTCTGCAGTGTGTTCTTATCACAGGATGCCTGGAGCAGAGTTAACCCCGGTCTGTCTAGTGCAGGGTGTGGGGTTCTTTAGCTGCGTCTCGTCAGTGCAGGCTAACACGGCGTGTGTGTTCATTGCCTTTCTGTTGGTTCATACTGTTAACTCGAGTTAAGCTCACGGCCAGCTCTAATTCTCAGGTCTCCTTTTATGCGAATGTATCTATTCCTGGCATATTACTCACATGTTGAATTATATCCCATGGTGAATTCTGTTATGAAGCGAAGAGAGCATTTCAAAAGCAAAAACATTCCATAATATGTTTTTCTACCTTTTTATAGTATCTAGTATATTCTGTATAGTAATTCATGTGTGTGTATCAGCTAATATGCAGGCTGCAAAAAGAACTTCTGTGACTCAGGAAATTTGTAGACCTTTTAAAATGTTTTTATTATAGCCACTAAAAAGTAAAATAAAGCAAAAACAGCTGGTAGGCACGATGCAGATCAACTCTCACGAAGTGTAGGCGTCACCCATGACTTTGAGCAATGGTTTTTATCCCATTAGACTTTATAGGGGTCACCGTGTCCTTTAAGGGTGGACTACGTGTGATAGTCCTGGCTTTTTTCCTTTTGGCCTTAGAGAGATACATAGGTCTGTCTGATTCATGATCTCATCTACTCATTTCTCTTTTCAGTACAATGTTAACACACTTAATGCTAATATCAATTATGTAATTATAGACCTTTTCCAGTCAATTAAGAAACTTCCAGAAGATGGTTTCCAGTAGGTCTAAAAATGATCCATGCTCGCCATGAAACACATAAAATTAGACTGTGTATTTTGATCATTCTGCCTCATTAGCCAAGGTTTTCCTTGCCTTACCTCGGAGGCTTTTCCGTCAACCAGCATGTCTTCCTCAGAGTTTACGTTCCTCGTTGTTCTTCCCTTTTTCCCTCAGGCGCTCCTGCATGCATTCATGTGAGGACTGGCTGCTGGCAAACTTGAATCACTGGAAGCTCATACTGGCTGTGTGGCCTCTGGCTGTCTCGCTTTGGTTTCTCCCATTTCTCTGCCAGCCCTCGCCTTATTACTGCTGGCTCCAAATGCTCCTCCTTGATGACCTCACGTTGTGTCTTGTGCCTCCCTGTCTGCCTGTCCGTGTCCTGCGTCTGCCCACCCACCTCTACACCTACGTCTGATTGGGAGTCTGGGGAATTGTTCCACATGAACTTGTCACACCTTCAGGAGAAGTGGTTCCCAGTAGGGTATTTCAGGATATGTGGCTGAGACCCTAAGGAGTAAACGCTTTTCCCTCTGCTCCCTGTGTTTCCTTCTCACTTAGGAATCTTGATTCGCATGCCTTCAAGAGGTCATGCCTTCATTCTTCACCTCCGTGTGGAAGTTTCCTTGCCGCTCAGGGTAATGAATTAGCTGGGGATGGAGTTGTTGTTCTGTCTGGCTGGCAGGTTCATCCTTCAGTACGTTTGGATGTTTCTTGAACCCAATCAGTCCACTTTCCACAGCAGTGGCACAGATTTAACGCACAAACCTCGTCCAGTCTTCCCCCAGCCTGCTTTGCAGGGTCGGCAGACCACAGGCTACAGGTCAGATGTGGCCCCTGTATCTGCGTTTGCTTGGCTCTCCCATTGTTTTGAGATATTTTACATTAAAGTCAGCCTTGGAAAATCAGATTTCATGTAAAAAAAAAAATCTGTATTTTGAGCCTCCCTTTGGAACCTCAGAAGATGTGGTGACTATCATGAGGACAACTAGGGGGTATTTAGTTGCTTGTGTCTATCACTCAAGCCTCACTTGGCAACTTCTCCATTCACAATGCTTGGCTGGTCTCTCCAGCGCTCACCAAAGAATGATCCAGACTTCCTGGGACATTCATGGCCCTTAGGACCTAGCTCCTGCTGCCTCCTCACGGACACTTGGCCAGCGCTGTTCCTGGGCTTTGCTTTCCTGTCAGACAGGGTTGCTGCCATTTTTAGCCACACCCTTCCTTTGCCCTTACACTCCTTGTCTATGCCCTGTTCTCCCTACCCCTCAGCAATGCCTGTTTTTATGTTTAACTGATGGGATGTGTCTCTGGAAAGCCTTCCTGACCTCTGTAGAATCTCCCATCCCTTCCTGTAATTGTCTTGAACCCCTTCTCCCTTCATTTGGTGCACAGCAGTCACCATTGACTGTGTCTGTGGGTAGGCATGTTTGACCCCTGTCCTCTGGCTGCAGGGCCCCAAGAGCAGGATCTGTGCCTTACCTCTCTTTATACCCACTGTGCCCGGCACATGGAACGAGCCTGTTAAGTGCCAGTTGAGTAAGTAAATGGTTTCTTTCTTCGACTATAAATCTGGGAGACCCTATCCTTTCTGCAGTGTTGTTTATGATTCTAAAGTCCACAGGCTTCCTGAGAACTAGACAAGGAGCTATGTGTGCTTCATCCAGCAGTGTGTCCTGGTGCCCAGATGGTGGCCTGTGGCAGGGGTGGGAGGAACATGCATTGAATGAGTGAAAGGCCTGAAGAGCCAAAGATGGAGCTCGGAGCACACAGAGGGCCTTGTGACACTGTGGGCTGAAGCGATTGCTCTCCTTTATTAGCCCGTAAAAGAGTTATGTTCGCTTTCCAGCTCTATCACTGACATAAAAGGGTATTTTATGCATCTTGCTGTTTGTTCCTTAGGTAACGAGTCTGACCTTGAGCTAGAAAAGAAATACAAGGAAGATGATCGAGAAAAGGCCCCAAAAAAGCCACGGACGCAGAAAACAGAGAAAGTCCAGAAAATCTCCTCAGGAAAGGAGGCTGGGCAGCTTCCTGGAGCGAAGAAGCCCATCATCAGTGTGGTTTTGACTGCACATGAAGCTATTCCAGGTGACCACCAGCAGTGGGAGGTGACCAAGTGTGGGTCTCCTGGGAGGCTGCACCGAGGGCAGCCTGACATCAGTCTGAGCCTGACCTCGGTGGTTTTGCATAGCTCATTCACTGATGGGCGTTCCATGTAACGGTCCACTACTCTGGGGTGATGACAGACCTAGATCGTGTCCAGGGCTGTGTGGACAGCTGCTACAGGTAGTGGGCTGCCGCTGCTTCTGCTGCTGCTACCACCGGAACCCATACCTGC